GTATCTCTTTGACGTCTCGATTCGATTCTCTATATTTTGGCCTGATTTTAATGTTCTAGAAAGCTGAAAACTATTTCTAAGGAGTAAAGGTTTCATGGATTCGAGTAACTTGAGCAGATTACGTATATATTCGACCTCTGGGTATACTCGCGTGGAAATGAAGGTATGGGTAGAAAATGGGAAACTATGGTCAAAGGATGGCGAAATATGGCACTACGTTTCACTAACAATAAGTATGGCCAAGGATTCCCAACACAGGCACACAAAAAAATAAAAGTGGTCTGTTTATTGAACCAGATTTACATGTCTTATAGTATTTCTGCCCGCTAAAATCGAATATGAAGTCAGAATTGCTCCATCACCCTCTGTTTTTTTAAATCGAAAAAACTACCCTTAAATGTATAAATTCAAAGTTTAAAGTAAAAAAGAATTAAATAACAGATTGTGTTGCAAAATAGAACAATAAATGTATGTACTTCTCTTTCAATAATTCAAAAACAATGTCAGAAGTGAAACATCAGCCTTTTTTTAAGAGGAGAAACCAGATTAGGTGGCTCATTTTTATGGATTTTTAAAGATTTTTTTTTGGGGGAGAAATATTAATTAAAATTCAATGACATTTGGTATGCTGTCGTAACCACTGATGGTCCTGATATTGTTTCTCGACTTGCGTGACGTGTAACAATTTTTATTTTTAAATCAAATTAAAAAATTTTTTGTCTCACACTCTTAACTTATTTTCTAAGAATATGAACCTCAATCCAGGTAAAAATAATAAAAATTTTAAATTTTGAAGGTGTTTGAAATTTTTTCTTCAATTTTCACAATTTTTTTTTACACTAATTACACAAAAAAACACCCTTAAAATCGTGATATCACCTCAAATGTTGGTTCATATTCTTCGTAACTTTATAAAGAATAAAACTACCAAATCTCAATATGATCGGTAAATATTTGTTTAACCCTTTAACGTCCAGCGGTACATATGCTGTACCATAAAGAATAAAAAAACCTATCTTCAAATAGGGTTAATATATTTAATTACAAAATGATATCTAGGGGTTTTCGGGGTCGCTGATTACGAATCTGATGTCAGATTTTGAAAATTCAAAATGGCGGATCCAATATGGCGTACCGAAAAATTTAAAATTTGATGGATTTTCATGAAACTTGGTATGTAGGGGTTTTCGAGGTCCCTGATTACGAATCTGATGTCAAATTTTAAAAATTCAAAATGGCGGATCCAATATGGCGGACGAAAATTTACAATTCGATGAATTTTCATGGAACTTGGTATCTAGGCGTTTTCGAGGTCGCTGATTGCGAATCTGATGTCGGATTTTGAAATTTTAAAATGGTAAATCCAATATGGCGGATAGAAAAATTTAAAATTTGATGGATTTTTATGAAACTTAGTATGTAGAGGTTTTCGAGGTCGCTGATTATGAATCTAATGTAAGATTTTTAAAATTCAAAATGGCGGATCCAATACGGCGGACGAAAATTTAAAATTAGATGGATTTTCATGGAACTTGGTATCTAGGGGTTTTCGAGGTCGCTGATTACGAATCTGATGTAGGATTTTGAAAATTAAAAACGGCAAATCCAATATGGCGGACCGAGAATTTTTAATTCATGAATTTATATGGAGCTTTGAATCTAGGGGTTTTCGATGTCACTGATTACGAATTAGATGTCATATTTTCAATATTCAAAATGTCGCATTTAAAGATAATGGATAAATTTTAGAAACTGTATTAGGTCTTTAATAATTTTTAAATACGAAACCAACTTACACTTTGCGTGACCCAGAACTAACGACGTGGACTTAGTAAGCCACTAGTTCCAAGCTACATTGGATTTATAATCAGCTACCACAAAAACCCCTACATACCAAGTTTCATAGTAATCCAACGAATTTTAAATTTTAGGTCCGCCATATTAGATCCGCCATTTTAAATTTTTAAAATCTGACTTAAAATTCGTAATCAGCGAACCCGAAAACCCCTAGATACCAAGTTCCATGAAAATCCATCAAATTTTAAATTTTCGGTCTGCCATATTGGATCCGCCATTTTGAATTTTTAAAATCTGACTTAAAATTCGTAATCAGCGACCCCGAAAACCCCTAGATACCAAGTTTCATAAAAATTCACCAAATTTTAATATTCCGGTCCGCCATATTGGATCCGCCATTTTGAATTTTTGAAATCTGACATCAGATTCGTAATCAGGGACCCCGAAAACCCCTAGGTACCAAGTGTCATGAATTTTGAATGGAAAAAAAAATTTGGACGTTAAAGGGTTAACCCTTTTAGTCCCAGTGGTCGATATATCGACCACCTTTTAAGCCACCGATTTTTTTAACATAACTTAAAGGAAAACTTTAAATAATTGCATATTTCTTATTTTTATGCTTCTACAAATAGGGCTTAGTAGTTTTTTAACAAATTAATCTATATTATTTATGTTTTTTGTTATTAACAAACTTATACACGGAAACGCATTACTTCAGGTTAAACTTGACTGCAATCAAATTAAATCTGTAACACATATACTTTAAAATATGTTTGTTTTCTAAATTCTCGAAGTTTCCTGAATATTAATCTAAAATCAGATATATGCAAATTAAAAATGATGGATCCAATATGTCGGAGAAAAATTAAAAATTAAACAAATTTGCTTGAAAATGGTCTCTCGGGGGTTTTTGGGGTCGCTGATTACAAATCTAAAGTCAGTTTTTCAACATTCAAAATAGTGGATCCAGAAATCCATATGACGGACATAAAAAGATACGAATTTGGAAACACCCTCCTCTTTTTAAAAGTTAGAAAAACTAAATTCAGATTTGTAATCAGTGATCTAGAAAAAACCTAAGCGGTAATTTTCAAACAAATTTGATGGATTTTTATTTCTTTGCCCAACATATTGTATCCTTCATTTTGAATTTTGATAAACTGACTTCAGATTCAGAATCAGCGACTTCAAAAACCTCCAAATGCCAATTTCTAAGCAAATTTGTTTAATTTTTAAATTTTTCCCGACATATTGGATCCGCCATTTTGAATTTTGACAAACAGACTCCAGATTTGTAATCAGCGACCCCAAAAACCTTCAAGAGACAATTTTCAAGCAAATTTGTTTAATTTTTAAATTTTGTCCGCCATATTCCATCTGCCATTTTGAATTTTAAAAAAATCTGACTCCACATTCGTAATCAACGACCCCAAAAACCCCCTAGAGAAAATTTTCAAGCAAATTTGTTTAATTTTTAAATTTTGTCCGCCATATTGGATCCGCCATTTTGAATTTTAAAAAACTGACTCCAGATTTGTAATCAGCGACCCCATGAAACCCCCGAGTGACAACTTTCAAGTAAAATTAAATAATTTTTAATTTTATAGTCCGCCATATTGACTCAGCCATTTTGAATTTTAAAAATTTTGAAAATCTGATTTCAGATTCGTAATCAGCGACCCCAAAAACCATAGGTACTATACCTATTGTAGATATTTTTCAATTGCCCTAATTATGGGACTGAAAGGGTTAATCCTCATTGGAGCGAGTAGAAAATTTTAAGTGGAGAATATTAATTAACAAAGGCCAAAGTCCCAGAATGTTGATGACACATAGTAGTTCATCAAGGTCCAAGATAAAGTCCTGATTTACTGCCAAAAATTTAAAAAAACTCGATCAGTTAATTCCTCACCTTGCAGGAGTTCCTTATGCGGATTCGTAGCTAACTTGTCCTTTCTTTCAGTTTACTTAATTTTAACTTCTGGTAATTCTATCACCATTAGGTAATTATCTTCACTGTTATCTTCTGGTAATTCTATTGCCAGAATTTTTTATCATCCAAAACAATTATGAGGGTTTCTTATGGATTCGAAGCTAACTTGTCCTTTCTTTCAGTTTACTTAATTTTTAATTCTGGTCATTCAATCACAATTTGGTAATTATCGTCTGGTAATTCTATTGCCAGAATTTGTTATCATCCAAAACAATTAGGTACCAGAAGATAACAGAAGATAATTATCTTCTGTTATCTTCTGGTAATTATTTTGGGTGATGAATAGTTCGGAAAGAAAAATATGATTTAATTGAAATGAACTTTAATTTTTAATCATCCAAAACATTTACCAGAAGATAACAGAAGATCCAAAAGAATTACAGGGATTCCTTATGGATTCGAAGCTAACTTGTCTTTTCTTTCAGTTTACTTAATTTTAACTTCTGGTAATTAATAATTCTATCACCATTTGGTAATTACCATCTGTTATCTTCTAGTAATTCTATAACCCAAATTTTTATCATCCAAAACAATTACCAGAAGATAACAGAATATAATTATCTTCTGTTGTCTTCTGCTAATTATTTTGGATGATGTATTCGGAAAGAAAAACATGATTTAATTGTAGTGAACTTTAATTTTTTATCATCCAAAACAATTACCAGAAGATAATTATCTTCTGTTATCATCTGGTAATTGTTTTAGATGATAAAAAATCCAGAAAGAAAAACACGATTCCTTTGAATTTCAATGAATGCACTATCACATTTTTGGGGTCAGTTCCAAATAAAGGAGTCGAAGGTCATGTATTTCGAATTTGGAACATGGTCTTCTGATGACGCCTGCTTTTGATGTTTTATGTGTGTAGAAAAGCGCAACAGGTCGTGACCACCCTCGCACTGCCAGTATTACGCCTGGGACGCACCAAGTATAGAGTTGTCCATGGACCGAGTTCTTGTGTACATACATACATGTGTACTCTTTGCACTGCAGGTTTTTGGTGGGGGACCTTGACCGAGTGACGTTCACCACTGGTCCCATCAGCCGCACTTCTACCTGTTTATCTCTCGGTTTGTCTGTCTTCAACTGTCTCACTCTCTTTCTCTCTCTCCTCTCTCCTTTCTCCTCTCATGATGCTTTGACGAGAAACCGTCTATCCGTCCGTCGATCCGCGAGTCTGCCGCGCCGGTGGGATGGGATTGAGCCGAGGTGGAAGGAGCAGTAAGCGGCCTACGCAGTTTCGAGCTCGGGCCCAGCTTTTATTAGTTCTTCGGCGCTCGGCGGAGAACGTGCGTGCAAACCTCGAGCGATTGGTTGCTGCTGCAACTCGTGTTACCGCAGTGCCACCGGCACCTAAAGTCTCGCGATCGGTCACCGACCGAACCATTACCGATCGGTGGTTCAAATTTTTTTCTCCGCTTCCTTCCTGTTTTCCAATCAATAAGAAGAAGAACGTGAAATTGCATCGAAGGTGATCATCCAATCAAGATCTTCCGGTGTCAAAGTGTCGCGGGTGACGTTTGATAATCGGTGAATTTCGTTCCGGGTCGGATAGTGGCAACAAGTGAACACACGAGGGGATCTATCTGGTTAAGGGTGACCGGTTTCGTTACCTTTGATCCCCCCAACGGTTCAGCATGGCGCTTCGATTCCACGAGATCTCGGCCGACCGGCTTGTTTGGCGAGGATAGTGACAGTTGTTGAACGCGAGTGCACCATTTCTTCTTTTTTTTTTCATTCTGCTGTGTTGCTACTACTCCTCTTCTTCTTCTTCTTCTACTTCTTCTTCTTCATCTAGTGTTGCTGCTGCTGTTACTGCTGTTGGCCTCCTCTTCTTCTATTTCTACTTCTTCCGTTTCTTTGCGCAGAGACACGAGAAGACCACCAGCGATCGAAATGCCACGATACCAGTGAAGGTAAATTCCCTGATTGAAGTAGATCGATTCCGAGTTTCGATTCCTAGAAAGGAATCTTAGCCGCAAAGTCCTTTTGCCAACCCCCCCCCCCCTCCTTCAAGTCATTGCCAATAATAATGAACCTTACACAAATATATCCGGTACACTTTAACAGAAGCTAAAAAGTGCTACTACTAAAAACCTAGTGGGTAACTACCCAACCTCCTAATTTTGCCAAATTAAATCCAGGTTTTTTCAAATAAAAACCTTTCAAAAAAACCCTAATTTTAAATCCTGCTCTTTAATTAAAATAAAAGGCAACATCACAATAATCAAGGAAGATGGATATTTTACCAAAATCAGTTAAAGCATTCTTGAAAGTGCAGCCAGAGGATTATAAATATCAATCGTTGTTCTGAAATGGAAAGGTTATCAGGTGAAACCTATAGTACTCAACAGAAGTATAGTTTGTAAAGTGAATATAATTGTAAAAACAGTGTCATTGAAGATGGGGTTTTTTATTGTGTGTATGTTATACATTCGAGGGTGAAATTTTTTTTTAAATTGTGCGACAAAAAATATAGCAAAAGTGCCAAAGAAAATTGCAGGTACTTACCAAGGATAACGAAAAATTAGTTCCAAAACCACTTTCACAGTGTAAATGTATGTTATATATGCAGTTCGTTAAAAGTGTTGCTTTACTAACATTAGTAAATAGTAAGTAGAAATATTAGAACTTGCCGTTCTAATGGTGCTGTTGTAGGTACTGAAAAGAATATTCAGTGTTAATTACTATGGTACCTAATTCAACAAGTGCTAAGTGTTTTAATAGGTACCTAGGTACCTGTGATTTGTATCTTTTAACCTGGTACAAGAACCTTGGGATATTAATCCTTCTGTCTGGAATATTATCCCAATTTTTCTGGAATGTAGGACCACCAGGTCTATACTTCTCTGCATAGGACTAGTAGGTTCCCCATTTTATAGGTACCTAACTCTGTATTTTTCTGGAAACTCTGGAAACTTTTAGTTCCCTATTTTATAGGTACCTAACTCTGTATTTTTCTGGAATATAGGACCACCAGGTCTATACTTCTCAGTATAGGATCAGCAGGTTCCCTATTTTATAGGTACCTAACTCTGTAAGAGCTATAAGAAAAGACATGGAACCATTCAAGTATTTAAGTGCAAGTTCGAGTTCAAACACTCTAGTACTATTTGGTACTACAGAATATACTCTAATATACCTAAAATAGGTACAAATTTACTCTATTATAGGTACTTTATTATTATTATCTAAAACAGGTACTGTTCGAAAAAGAAAAATGTTTCCTAGATTTTTCATATCACGACACTAAAATCGATTTCAAATTCAAAGGCAAAATTTTGCTAGTGCCTGAATCAGGTACTTCAGCCCCTAACGATATAAGCACTGAATATCATAAATTATAATATAATATTTATTATATTATCTATTATCTAGGTACATTTTTGAATATAAATACCATAAAAAGCTACCTGATATTTTTCTCATAGTGTCTATCAGCGTAGATCAGCGTAGTACCTGAATTAGGTTCTTTAGTCCCTCATGGTAGAAGCACTGAATATCTATTATGAAACTTTCACTGTAAGAAGAAAGGTACTAATTTAGTTCCAATTTTGGTACTAAATTGTAATTTGGTTCTATTTTAATACCGAAATCAGTTCTAATTTAGAACCTTTTTTTACAGTGTTAGGTACATTATTAGTATATACACTTACTTCAAAAAACTACCTGATATATATTTCGTAGTTACTAACATAGACCTGAGTACCTAACGCAAGTAAATGTGCACGATGCCTAACAAGTAAAGTGCATAAAGTCCCAAAAATAGGGTCAAATGGTACCTAAAATATGCACAATGGCTAACAAGTAAATGACATAAAGTCCCAAAAATAGGGTCAAACGGTACCTAAAATTATACTGTAGGGTCTTAATAATCACATATAAAGTATACAATGAAGTGTACAAGTATTAACCTAAGTACCTAATAAACTTATTGATTAATTATTTTTGTACGAAGTATCCAATATTAGGTACCTCTCAAACTTATTTTGTAAATTCATTCATGTTTAGAGTACATCAATATTAATATATTTCATTCCCTGCTAAAGGTGCATTGCTTTATGGCATAAGTACTAAGTACCTAATAGTATTTTACTGTAAAAGTACTAAATTAGAATTCTCTTATTTCTTTTGACCTAAATTCAAACAGATTGATACCTAATATTAAAAACACTATTTGGTCAATTAAGTACGTTTCTCATGTGCACCTAAATTCCTAATAAAAATGTATTAGTGTTGAAAGTCCTTTGGCACCTAATATTATTATTTTAAGTAGCTACTTAAAAATGTAATAATAAGTGCTAATATAGAAAATAATATAGGTACTAAAATGATTACTAATAAATCTATTAACATAGATATACTTCTAGGTACTAATGTAGGTACTAATATAAGTACTAATATAGGTAGTATTATAGATAGAAATATTGATAGAAATATAGGTCTAAATATAGATACAATTATAGGTTCTGATATAGATACAAATATAGGTTCTGATATAGGTAATAATATTAATTACTAATTAAGGTATTAATAAAGATACCAATTTAAGTAATATAATAATCTTTACTTTAGTACTAATGTAGGTACTTTATCATTTTTAATAAAAGGATGTACCTAAAAACTATTACCTTCATTGTAAAAAGTACCTTAAATATATTTACTTTAGGTACTGTTTATATATAAATTGTACTTAAAAATAGTTCATAAAGTAAAAAATGCTTAAAATAGTATCTCAAATATGAAAGATACCTAAAGAACCTAAACCATAAGTAGTACTTAGAATAGATCCTAAAATATTAAAAATGCCCTAGATGCCAAAAATATAAGTATACTTATACTCCCTAAATCTGAATTAATTAAAAATAACTTACTATTAGTAAAATATTGTCTGATTTTTTGCTTCAGAAATTAGTGCAAAATTTATAATTATTACACACTAAAAAAAAAGTCTTACTTTCAGCCTCTTTTTGAGGCTGAATTTAAGGTGTAAACGGAGTCAGCCCCGTTAGACAAGGACAGACTTATGTGAAATACATGGGCTGAATTTAAGGTGTAAACGGAGTCAGACTTTTTTTTTCCTGTGTAGTAGAAAATAACTTATTATTATTATTATTATTATTATTATTATTATTATTATTATTATTATTATTATTATTAATTTTATTATTATATACATTATTATTATAACTAATTGAATTAATTTTATAGAATCACTCTTGTAAGCCAATTCTGTACATCGACAAATTTAGTGACAGGGTAATCAGTGAAAAAATACAGTTTTAGTCAGACAGAGTTTTAATTCTTGAAAAAAGAGTATAATATGAGTTGATGCAAGACTTTGAAATTTTCTAAGTAGTAAAGGTCCTTTTTAGTCAGACAAACGTTTTCCAAATATTTTAGTCGATTTGTAGTTAAAATCAGTTTCTAATCTTACTGACATCTTCAACAAATATTTTTTTTACTTTCAGTTAACAAAGATTTTTGCTATCAGTGAAAAAAGAATTTTTAGATTTTTTGGTATATCTTAAAAGTCAATTTAACTAATAATTTAGTTGGTATTAAAAAAATTTATTATTAGTATTATTAATAATAGTATTATTATTAGTTATTATTAGTAAAATATTACTATTTGAATTAGTGACTGACTTTTTACCTTATTTAATTTCTCATTTAGAGGCTAGTACCTAAAATAGCACATGAAATAAAAATACCAAAGTATTAACTTAAATGAAAAAAGATCAAATGTGCCTAGAACGTTAATATTACTTAAAATAGTATCTAGAAAAAACCTAGAATCAAAAGAACCTAAAATAGTTCCTAAACCACCTTAAATGTAAAAACTACCCAAAGTATATCAATCATGTCTAACGACAAAAATATTTTAAAACATTAAAATTTTTATATTTTGACAATGGTGAAAATCTAGTCATTCATGGCCAACGACAAAAATATTTTAAACCCTCAAAATATCCATATTTTTACCATGTCCAAAATCAAGCAAAGTTATAAAACTTTTTTCTTATAAATGTTTTTCAAAATAATTTTAACTTTTTCGAATTAACATTACTCATAATTTTCTCTACTCCTAATCATTCTTCTTTATAATTACTACATTTTCTAACTTGTATTTCTTCTAACTATAATTTTACCGAATTGTCACTTCTCATAATTATTATTATATCGAAATATTATTTTTCAAAATTTTTGCAATATCTAATAATTTTTTATACAAATTTCTTTATTGTATAATAACCAGTTTTTATAATTTTATTTTATTCGAATAATTATTTCGTATAATTTTTTTCTTACCGAAATTATATTTTAAATAATTTTTTATTAATCGATTTTTTATTTTTCCTAATATTCATTTTTCCAAATAATTCTTTTTCATAATTTTTATATTTCCTAATTCGTATTTTACATAACATACATTTTTTCTAAGATTTAAATTCTCTAATTTATTATTTTCCTAACCTATAAATGTCATAATAAGAATTGCTCCGAATAGTTATTTCACCCACAGAATATCCGCTTTCGATGTTTTCCTTCTCTGAAGAATATGGCGCCAAATTTGAAAAAAGTTTATTATTTTATTATTTAAAAATTATTCATTATTACAAATATTGTTTATAAGAAAAAAGTTATAGTTATAAGAAAAAAGTTTTATAACAAATCATGTTTCGAAAAAATAAAATTTAGAAACTTTAAAATATAGAACATTTACACATTATAAAAAAATATTATTAGGAACAATAAATTTTCGGGAATATAATTATTATAATTATTAACAAATTTATAAAATAATATTTATCAAAATTGACATTTCGAAAATAAAAATATTAGTGTAAGTAATTTCGATAAAATAAAGATTCGGAAAATAAAAATTGGAGAGTTTTCATGCGCCTAAAATTTT